GCGCTTTTACGATTGCGAGACTTCGCCGTCCGAGGATGATTTCGTTCATCCCATGCCTCAGCCTAGTTTCAATGCTCAAGAGCATTGTCTTCAGACAATCGAAGGCCCAGTTGCATGTAGGCCAGTCAAGCCACATCCAAAGAAATCCCTCCATGTCAAAGTGCATGTGGCAGGGCGTGATGTTTTGGCTCTTGTGGACACTGGGGCAACAACTTCGTTTGTCCAACAGTCTATTCTCCGGAAATTGGGCTTGCAGGATCGAGTTCAGCCATGTGCCCAGGATGTTCGCTATGGCAATGGTGAAGTTGAGCCCATTCATGGGATTGTGGAACTTCCTCTCACCATTCAAAGTGTGGCCAGGCCGATGCGCGCATATGTGTTGGATGGTAAAGGCCCACCATTGATCATGGGGTTCACCTTTTTGGCGGAGCATCAGTTGCTTGTTGATTGTGATGGACGTGTTTTGACCCCCAAGGGAGTGGGCAACCCTGTTTCTTGTTTGTCCGTGCAAACGAAGCAAGATCTGGGACACCGCGTTCTTGTTGAACGCTTTCAAATTGAGGGCTCTTTTCCCCCCTACCCCCGGAAGCGGTTCAGTGGTGATGCAGCTTGGGATTTTTTTTCTCCCACTGAAATCCGCTTGAACCCTGGCGAACGTGTCACAATCGATACTGGGATTGCCTGTCACTTTCCTCCAAATCGATGGTGTCTTCTGAAGGAACGCTCGGGCCTCGCACATCGTTATGGACTGACAGTGTTGGGCGGAGTTGTGGATGGCAATTATAGGGGGTGCATTAAGGTTATCTTGCTGAACACTGGCACCCATCCTGTTGTCATTCCTCGACATGCTGCTTTTTGCCAAGCTGTGCTGATGCCTACAGACACCACTCCGTTGGTTCCAGGCCGGGTTACCATCAGTGGGGAGCGCAGTACTCAGGGTGGTGCCAATAGAGACCTCCAGCAGGGTCCGCGGATTTCGGGAAACGTGGGGAGACGCGGTTCGGGGGCGGTTGCCAGCCGCGGCTGAGCCCATTTCAACCGCATGTGTCCAATAGGCAGAGGGGAGAGGGGGTGAGTGGGAGTTTTTTGCAGTTCACAGAGGTTCCCCATTATCCTCCATACTTTAAAAATGGGCTTTTGTTTCTACCTTTGAATCGCAGTATTGTCTTGGGGCCATATGAGACGCGTGGCATTAATCTCCCCTGTCGATTTCCTGCAGGCTCTTTGCATCAATGTTTTGTTACCCTGCCAAATCGACATGTTACTTTTATCATGAAAACAGATGGAGTACGCATATGGGGAGCTTTGAAGAATTTTTCCGCTGATCCACAGCAGCTTATGCCACGGAATGACCTCTTGGCTTGTTATACTTCAGTTAGGTGGTTTCAAATACCTGATCATGCAATAAGTTTGATTCCCGAGGGTCGGAAGGGTAGGGCATTATGCACTTTTGAGGGATCTAATTTGCATTCTGAGGATTCACTACATGGTCACAATCGGATGTTTGAGTGGTTGTTCGCATTAAAAGAAAAATATGCAGCTGTTTTTGCTCCGGGTTTGGGCACCTGTCACACATATATGGTGCACTCTTTTCCTTTCAAGTTTCCACTTCCATGGAAACAACAGCCTCCAATCAGAATGTCTGGCCCAGTGGAGGAGCAAAAGGTTTTGGAGGAGGTCTTGAAGTTGGTTGAGTTGGGCGCAGTACGCGAGGTGGATCAGGAGCCCTATATTATTCCGGCTTTTGGCGTTCCGAAAAAAACGGGCTCTACTCGACTCGTATTGGATTTCAGGAAATTCAATTCCTGTGTCCATCAGCAGCCTTTCCTTCCGGTGAACCGTGAACTTTCACTGGCTGCATTACGTCCTTTTCATATTGGATCTGCTTTGGACCTTTCCAATGCGTACTTGCAAATCCGGTTGCATCCGCGCCTTTGGCGTGCTGTGGGACTTATTGTGGCAGGTCGTTTTTTCCAATACATACGGTTGCCATTTGGGTATTGCAATAGCCCCCACGAGTTTTTACGGGCACTGTGGCCTACGGTCTGCTGGGTTACTCATCGTCTTCAGTCTCAAATATTGTTCTACATGGATGACATTTTGTTGCTTTCGCAATCAGAGGCACAACATCGACGTGATCTTGCCATTTTGTTAGAAGAACTGGAGCGGGATGGATGGCGTGTCAATTGGGAAAAGTGTCAGTTTTGCAAGGACCGGTTTGAGTATATGGGGGTTACGTTGACCTCCTCCGGCTTGGAACCCACTGACACTATTTTAGGCCAATTTGAGCAGGCCCCGATGCCCACTACACAGCTGGGATGGCGACGGATTCGAGGATGGCTCGCTCATTCAGCCCGTTTTATTTGGCAAGGGCATCGAATTCTTGCGGCCTTGCAAGTTGTGCAAGATCATCCGTCATTGGAACAGTGGCGACATTTTCTTTTTCTTTTGCGCCACAGTTTTATTCGATGTACTATTCCAGACATTGCATCCCCTGGTTCGTTCACTGTGCTTACAGATGCCAGCAAATTGGGTTGGGGTGCAGTTCTTCTTGTGGGTCGCAAGATCATTCATTGTGCTCATGGGTTGTGGGCTTTTGGTTTTCGTCATCATGTTAGCAATGAGTTGGAATTGGAGGCGTTGTGTCGTGCTCTTCGTGTTTTCCGGCCTTGGATCTTTGGAGCACCTATTCGAGCCATTATGGACAACTAGGCAGCGGTCAGTTTCAATAACCCCCGGCACCTCAGTGACTTCCTCAAATGCCGGTTGGAGCAGTTATCATGGTATTCTCCTCAAATTTCATTTTGTCCAGGACCATTTATTTATTTAGCGGATTTTCTGTCTAGACAGGGGGCTTGGGTTCAAGTTCGTACAATGGAAGAACAGCGCTCAGCAGTCATTTCTCAGGCACAATGGAAGCAGGCTCATGCAGGACACTTTGGAGTGAAGAAGACATATCTTCGCTTTCGTCAGATGGGCCTGCATCCAACGTGGCAATGGGTGAGAGATAATGTGCAATCATGCAGACAGTGCCAATTGTTCCATCAACCCCAGCCATCAAATCCGTTTGGCAGTTGGCATCATGCCAATGGCATGTGCCAGAGAGGCCAGGTCAAGTCATCGGAGTGGATTTTATGGGACCTTTCCCAGCAAGGAAGGTGGGACAAAAGCGCTTTGTTCTTGTCATTGTTGACATGTTGACCAGGCAGGCAGAGGCATGGGCAGTGAGGGGGGCAGGAGGGACAGATATTGTACAAGGATTGAGGAAATGGGTGCAGCAGCATGGGCCACCTTCAGTTTTGTGTTCTGACGTGTGCAAGGCGACACAATCCAAGGAGTTGGAGGCATGGTGTACACAGCAGGGAGTGACACAAGAATATTCACCTCCCTATCACCACGCATCTATTGGATTTGTGGAACAGTTCAATCAGACGCTATTGAATCGTTTGAGGCACATGTGGGCGGAAGAACCCAAGTACTTTGCTAGGATGGTCGAGCGCGCAATCAAGATCTACAATGACACCCCACTCTCTTCACTAGAGGAGAGTAAAGAGACTCCCAGTTCGTTTCAGTTTGGATCACCCAAGCAGTTGTGGAACAGTTCGCGAACAGTGTGGCGGCAGTTGCAAGAATATGCACACCAACAGCGCACAAAAGCGAACCAGAGGACGAGGGGACGGCGTATCCAATGAACGTTCAAGGCAGGCGACCGGGTGTGGTTGTGGAATACAAAAGTTGAAACACTAAAGGACAAGCTCGAACCATGGTGGAAGGGCCCAGGGCAGCTCATTCGCCCTATAACACATGCAGTTTGGGAAGTGCGGGGTCCAGAGGGGAAAATCTGGGTTAGGCATACAGATATGATTCGGCCATATAGAGATGCAATTTAAAGAGACAAGGCTATCATGTGATTTGGTTAGCGCAGGGAAGCGTGTGAGGAATAACATGGTGAATGTGGTGTTGGACACACATGGTGAATGTGAGGAATAACATGGTGAATGTGGTATTGGACACACATGGTGAACATGGTGGCAGAAATATGGTGAATATGGTGAACATGGTGATTTACTAAGAATGGACATTTCCTTGTACAGTATTTGATTGGTACACTTGTCTTGTAACATCATCTGGTTGCGGCTTGCTTCCCATGCCTGGGAGCGACCGTGCGAGCGCGGCTGACGAACGCTCGAACAACCCGTCAATGATGGAAGGCAGCCCACGCTTGGAACGCGCTCATGCCCATATGCACAGCAAACGCTGCCCGACGATCTCACAGACAAGAGCGCCGTTTCTTTCCAGGAATCTCGACTTCTGGTTTGCTTCCCGCCCCAGGAATGTGGAAACACCGAAGTGCTGTGCACTGTGTAGCCGAACGCCAGGTCCCCTCTGGCTGCCCCGAGAGCGTAAAAGTATCCATAGTACTTTGAAGTGGTACTTGAGATTAGTAAATTAGTAATTTCATCTACTGCGCATCCAAACACTGGATCCCCTCTGGCTGCTCAAGATCTGACGGGCGTTCGGCACCGGCACCCTTCGGCGCTGCTCTCAATGGCCACCGCCACCCGCCTGTCAACGCCCTTGGACGCGCGCGCAGTGGCTGGCCACCGCGCTTGCAGCCCATCGCCCCTCATCCTGTCAGCGCGGCATGGGCATTGCGCCGCGGGTCGTCACAGCAGGAGGTAGTGAGAGCGCGGTCAATTTTCATTTTCGCGTCTAAGCATCTTCTTTGCTGGGAAACAAACGCAGGTTTATGCGTGGCGACGGGCGCTGCCCTCCGTGTGTACCACGCGATGGCCTAGCTGGTTCGTTGATCCTTCAGACTGTGTCACTGGACCCACGCCTTGGGATGTGAACTTGCGTCAGCGATGCGTGTTTGTACGTTCGTCGTTACCCTTTTTGCCGACTTTCATGGGGCTCCAGTGGTAGAAAGTGTCATGTTTCTTCCGACCTGAACTGGTGGATCTCCAGTTGGGTCCGCGAGCCCCAAGTCCCTTTTCTGAATGGGGCCAGTGTTCACCAGCCTGAACCACACAAAATTTAGAGAGCGCAACTGTGCATGGAGCACAACTGACAGTTGGCGGAAGTGTAGCGGATTGTGGGGTGGGGACCGTCCAGTGTCTTCAATGCCATGTCCATCACACATTCGTTCAGCGCTTGTTCTGTAGATTTACTTCCTTATCCATATCCTGCCAGGGGCCTTGAGCGTTAGTTTATAACTCCAGCCTTGCTCGCTCGTCTGTTATTTCAATACTCACTAGTGGCCTCTGAGCCACATTCTGATGTTCGTCCAAGGGCAATTATCATGCCTTCACTGCAGTCCATCTGCAGCAACATGTCAATATGCCAGTCCCAACAATTCCTGTTTGTGTTCTCATTCCCTTTGTAAACTGGAAGTACCAATGCCTCTGTGTGCACTAGTTGATGGAATCATGCTTTATTGAAGAAAGGCTTACCAGCTTGGCCCAGCACGTATGCCAATATTCAGTTGCAAAGCTGTTGTTCACCAAAAGAAAATCGGAATAAATGTAACAAAAACAAGAAAAAGAGACTTCATACCATTGACCGATGCAAAACAACCAATAATGTCCATATATCAATGCCTGCCATGCAGCCAACAGCTCCCTCAAGTCTCCCGCAGGAAATTAAAAACAGGCATGAAAAGAAGGAACTATATGTTTGCTAAGGCGCAACACTGCAGACAGACTGTTCGCCACCCCCAGCTTGTCATTCAGAAATTCCCTAAATGAGAACCAAAAGAGGGATTCAGACCATACCACTCTGTTTCACAATCTTGCCTCACCACATAGAATGTGCTGTCCCAACAGTCCCCCACCCTGAAATAAGTGAGACATTAAGTATTGGCTGATGGCATGTTGCCTTGTTTCAGATGGCTATTGTCACAGGATCGTGGCTTTGTGAGTTCCGGGTTGTATTCACAAAAAAATTGGGTGGAGCAGGCTGCTCCCACATAAACCAGGGTTGGTCCCTGCCCAAGAAATTCAGTAGGCCAACGAAATCCCCAGTGCCAAGGCTTGAGGATGGAGAAACAGTTGTGGGGATGTCTTTTATCATCCAAAAGGCAGTCAACTTCCTGTTTTCTGCATTGGCATACACTGGGCAAAGCATACACCCACTAAGCAATTCACAACGACTGACACCAGATGCCTTGTAAAACACAACAGTTGAAATGCGACTTCACAGCAAGATTGGACTTGGCACTGTCCCAAGGGGCTCGTCGTGCGCCAGATTATCTGCTTTGATACAGTTATCTTTATGTTACCCAACATGTCGCACTGTTCACAGTCAAGTACCCAATGTATATTAGCCTCCAAGGTGCGCAAAGGCATGTTATCCAGCAGTCATATCCCCATCCGTCAAAATCTGCAGAGAATGAAGGGTATGGGTACATTGTAGGCAATTGTGCCAATCGAGTAATATAATTTGGCTTGTGACCATTGACATTGTGCACTGTTTCGATGGGGCCGACGTCTTGGTGGTAGCCTGACCTCAGGCTGGACACAGAAATCCTTTGAGAAGAATGTTGCAAATGATAAATTTATAAGCCAAGCATTGCCAACCACAGCCCTTCGAATTTGTTGAACAATGATGTGCACTACTCATGTCCACAGACAATTATTTCCACTCGCCACCAGAATGGATTCCACTGGAGACCCTGCGCCTGTGTTTGCTAATTGTGAAAAGAGGGAACAAGAACAGAATCAAAAGCTTGCTCGTAGGTCTGGCGCTGGTTCCAGTCATCACAGCACTGCCTTCCCTCCCTTGCAGAAAAAATACGGGCAGTGGCTGCATCCCCCCATCAACTGGATGGGAATTTACATAGTGCACTTATTTGGAAATGCATTACTGGACATAGGCATAGCACTTTCCACTGCTGATATTCCATGTTGTCTGATTGACAATAATAGCATGTTAGCGCATTGTTCCCAAAGATTGTGTTATTGACTCATCAGAATGTCTGCTCTATGATTGATGGTTGCTGAGCTTTGCTGCTGCAGGCCACAAGATGTTTGTGTGGCGGCTGGCATCTCCCTTGAGCTGTCACCATTGGTCCAGACCCCAGGAAACCCTGTGGCGCGAGAAAAAATGTATGAGAAAATGAGGAAAGCTGGTGTGAGTGTCCACAGCGCACTGCTCACACGGTACCCAGTTCAGTGGTATCTGTCAGAAGTGAAGAAAGAAAACACAGTGACAAAATACCTTCATATACGATCAAACACAATACACCCCACCTGAGTGCCAAAAACACAAATAGTTCATTGTTGAATACCTGTTCTTGTGTACTTCCTGCAGCCATGTGCCCTGGGTGTGGCTGCATGGCTGTGCATTTGCTCTGTTTTCGCACATTTACCAACACTGCCTTGTAAGTGCAATCTCCAACACAGGTTTGTGAGTGCAAAAGCTATGCTTTGTCAGTTTTTGGCTATTCTACACGGCGAATTTCTGCTGTGAGTGCCAAGGTGTTGCAAACTATGCAATTCACTGCACCCAAACCCATTTGAGCAAAGAGGCTGCACGGCATTGTGGGAAGCCTCTCATGGCAATCCAAACAACATTTGTCCACAAAGTGCACTCAACTTTGTTCATCCTAATTGGAAGGAGAGAAGTTACCTTAGCAGACTGCCAAAGGCCTGCTGAGCCTCTTAAAAATACAAAATTGGATGCTCGCAGTGAAACCTGCAGCAGACACAGTTCACTTAAGTATTTATAAGATTCTTTGCATCTGCTGTTTTTCGGTTTCCAGATGCTTCTGAGCTGCTTGCATCTGTGGCGCACACTTGCTTCATTATTGTGCAACATGCACTTTGTCATTGTCTTGAATTTTTTTACTCATGCAAACCATTCGAGTTTATTAGTTCCCACAGCAGCCTGTGTTGGTATGAGTTCTGTCCAGCAAACAGAAGGCAACAGAGGAACAGAAGCAACTTTACCATCTTGGACATTCCTTGGTTTGTTTCCCAAATTATTTCCCAAAGTAAAGAATGGACATTGTGGAGAATGGTTTCACAGAAGCTCTTGCCCAGGAGGCCATACCCACTGTCCAGCACACTTCATTCTGCTGAAGAGACTATCGTCAGTGTAAAATTTTGTATGTGTACAAGGAGATCTGACTTGTGTGGCATACATCGCACATACTACCTCCACGCCAAAAGTCGTCTCCAATTCTTGCTGTAACTTTGCAAGATCACTCAATCAGCCAATCCGCCAGCATTACATTAGTCATTGCTATAAACCACGACATTCACAGCCTAGTCAAAAATGGCCCTGTCCAGCTCATGCAGGACCTCAAGTCCCTGCCATGTTGCATTGGCCTTATTCTGACATGTCCCAACCCATTTCCGCTAAATTCATGAAGATTTTTATTGCAGACAACAAGTGAGCGCTAGTACACACTTTCAACAGTTCGATACCATTGCTACCATACCTATTGTAGAATGCCTTTTCAGTATGCTGAATCATGTTTTTGAAATTCTCTTTTACACCCATTGGCTGTGTTTACATCAATTTAGGCCATCTTTTTGGCTTGCGCCAGTATATATGGCTTTCCAAACCTTGGCACGTCTACTAGTAACGTGCTGTTGCACCGATCGAGGCATCTTTTTGCCCTTTGGGCACAACCTTCGCGTGGCTCTTGTTGACACCCCAATGTTGTACTGAACTGCAATTCCTTTCCTCACGGATTCTGTTCGGAAATGAGCCGCATCTTTAGGGCCGACCAAAGCACCAAAGCATACCTCTCTCCTTGTGATAGCTCAGCTCGATCCACGCCTGTTGGAAAGCAAAAGAAGTTTGCCGCGCTCATCCCCAAGTCCCAACAAAATGAAAAGCCACGCTTGAGCTCCTCTTCACATATCGCAAGAATGACAGTGCCGTTTGCCATGCTTGAGGGCTCAACGGACAGCTCGTGACATGGCGCATCGAAGTTGTTCTGGTCAATTTTCTGACCCGCATGTTTCAACCTCAGTTTGGGCAGAATTGAATTCGGACACGACTTTTGCAACAGTAGTAGCATACAAGGTGGAGATGGTGACCGTGAATGGAAGAACATGACCTGGCATCCAATTCAGTGCTGTGTATGTGACTAATACTTAATTGTGTAAGTTATCAGTTATGATCTGTCTCCTGTGCATGGGTGTGGCTGTACGTGAGAGTGTTCCAAACACTGTCCAGCACTGCTCATAGTGATGGTCAGCATGGGCTCATGCAGCTTTTTGTAAGTTTGGTTTTCACTTTGCAGGTGGCTGTGATAACCGTTGATGAGATGCTGGCGAGCCAGGCAAAGGGTATCCCTGTCCTTGATGTCCGCCCCAAGAATGAATATGAGAAGGTCATTGCACATAGCGTGTGTTTGCTCCTTGCTAATCTGTACTAATTCAATTGACACATTGTCACAAAGCAATTCTGTTGCACCCATTATGCGATTAATTTCTTGTTCACACTCACTCGCATTGTCCCTGTAGTTTATGGATCTCACTGTGCTGCTCCTTGACATCGTGCTTTCTCGGGCATGGCCTGCATTGTTGTTAGATGACTTCCACGCATGGCCCCATAGTTCTTGGCTGTGGGCAGTTGCTTTGTTTGTGGATAGCTGGGGTTTCCCTTGAGCTGGTACAGTTGATTTGGTGGACATCTTATTGCCAATCTCTTGATTGCATTGACCAGATCTGACAGGGCATTGCTCACGCACATGCGAGGGATTGGGTGACTAGTCGACAACGACACAGACATGTTTGTCCATGTTACCTCGCTCAGAAAATAGAATGTGCCTGTGGAGCATGTTGATCTGTCTGGCAAGAGTGCAACTTAAGATCTTTTGTTGCTCCATGCGGTCTGTCCAGAATGCGAACCCATGGCGAGAATTCCAGTCCCCTGTTCCTCTGTCCTTCACCCAACTATCAAACCAGGGTCCCTGTGCATGCAATTCCAAAAGCACTGTTTTCGCTTTTCTGCAGGGCCACATTCCAGATTCTGTCAACATTCCTTTGTACGATCTCATCACTGGATGGTGAGTGGCCAAATAAATTTGTTGGCGAAAAACCTGAGTCCTGCGGATGTTGTGCATGGGGATTGCCAGGAGCATCTTTCTCCAAGACACACTGAAATTGTGGTTGTCTCAGGGAAATGTGCTGTAGAACGCTGAGTTCACATTTGCTGCATTCTGACGATGCAATGCCTGTGTATCTGCAAGGCGACGTCGTTTGCACTGTTGAGTGGATGTTCACATTGGATCCAGCCTGCGGCAGCTGGAACACTTATCTTGACAGGACTGTTCCTAGTTCAGCAGTTGGAACCACACCGCACACAGAAGAGAATTGTGTGGTAACCTGCAGCAATGCAGCTGCTACCTACTGTCTCTTCACAACATAAACAGCTACATTTGCCGCACCCTTTAACTGCCATAGTTTGTGACCACTGCCTCCCTCAACATGTGTGAATTCTTTTAGTCTAACCACTCTTAATGAACCATCGCGTGTTGCAGAGTATATCTGTGCCATCAAGGATGGCACTGCGCACAGGGGATAATATTCTATTTTGATGGAGTACTGTTTGCTTCATGTTGTTACAGAGTCACCTGAGGTGGGCATTGTGCAAGAGCACAATTGATATTGTTTCGTTCCAACGCTTCTTCCGCCAAACGGAGAGTAATTCCGTGCTGGCATACTCCTTCAAAACATGGCAAATAAATGCCCTGGCACATATCAGGAGCTGTTGAACGCAAACCACCACAAACAACTAATGGCACCCTTTCGTCCCTGTCAACTTGGCTGTCGGTACTCACAACGATCAGAAGGGGTTCATTGACTGATGTCTTTTCTTGTTGGCCCCTTGCACAAGTTTGGATATTTCTCAGATCCTTATTTCTTGTTGCTGTATGTCAATTTCATCAACAGCCGAGGTAAATGGACACCTTGCACCAGGCAGGCAGTGACATGCGCAACAACAGCAGCTTGCTTCTGTCATCCGTAGCACAAACCGTTGGTATTACGTATGCCCCTCCATGGCGCCAAGTGGATCAGGCCCATGCTCTCCTGCCCTTCTGTACGTTCCTTTAGCCCCCAGATGCGCCTTCAGTGGTCGGGCGAAAATGACTACATGAATACAGTTCCGACAAATGTTAAGGCAGAGGCCATTTACAATGTGCAGACTGGACAAACGTGACACATTGTGCTTGGTATTGCAGGCAACCCTACAAGATAGCAAGAAGAGGTGGCCACCTCATATTTGGCTCTATCGATGGCACAGAGTTCCAAGAGGATTTTCTGGACGGTATGCTGGCATTGACTCCCTCAATGTCACAAAGCAACAATTATCCTGGTGTGAGAAGTTTTTTCTGATTATGTCCTGAATTGCTCACAGTGGTTTAGAATATGTGCGAAGTGAAATGTATCTCAAGTGGGCATTGTTTGCCTTGAGATGAACATCTCAGCGCTGCTGTTCAGGAGGAAGGATGTTCACAAAGATAACAATCTCTGTACCTTGGTCGGAGTGAAGGATACTAGGGAAGACACTATTTTGATTTTGGTACACTTAGCGTCAATGTGACATTGAGCTCAGATGCCCTCCCCCCCCCCCCTCCCCCCTTTAGCATTAATCCTTATTTCTTTGCCAGGATGACTCAGCGACATTACCTAACAGTGCCATACAACTTCCAAACAGTTTCAAGAAAAAAACACACCCAAAATTGTAGCGATTGTGGTGATTTGCAAAATGCGATGCCAAAAGCGATGATAGGCGATGAGAGTAACCCAAAAGCCTGAAATTGATCCATTCTAAGGACTACCTGGATGATTGAAAATTTGAGGGAGGTTTTGCAACATTTATGAGCTATTTGCTGCTGAAGCGGTTTTATGCATCTTCCCACCTTATTTTTATTTTAGTGCCATTACATAATATCCTAGCGTCAATGGCTGCGCCTCCTTACCCTCAACGTCAATTTGATGTTAAACGTACCAAAATCAAAATACTGTCTTCCCTTGCTAGTAGACGAAGGCACACCCTGGCCACACACCATTGAATTGATTTGACGTCCTTGCGAAATTATGTCAGCCAACTATCTAATATCAGACCACCCATGTCATGTTTGGAATGCTCTTTTCTTGCTCTAGGAAGGCCTTATCGTCCACCTGCCAACATTGGACAGCACAGCCAATGCGCAAGTGTAGTTGTTGATCCTCCAGAACATAACTGTCTGCTGGAGATGCTTACGCTGTGTTGGGAGTTGATCGCTTTGCGTGTGAATTCCGACAATTTGGGGGCTTTCCATTGCTTTGCATGCTCTTGCCAGGTGGCACAAGACTCACATGTGTTGTGGTTGGATGGGGGAGGAACCTGGAGGCTGAAATGTGGCGTAACATTTTGGAATCAAAAAGAACTGTCATCGCATGTAGAGCCCACGGCACAGCGCTGATGCAAAGCAGTGGAGCTGCATCCAATCCATAATCGCTGTATAATTTATTTGAATGTGAAGTGTTGGAAGGCTCCACGAAAGCTCTATTTTTCACGCATTGTAGTGCATTGCATAAGAAGCATAGAGTATGCTTTGATGGCTCACTGCTCTGGGGGCATTGTAACACTATTGTTGTGGCTTACGATACAAAGGCCGCTGTGCATGATTATTGCAAGTATTGTTGGACAAATGCTGGTAGGTCACTTCTATCCTTCAATGCCTTCCCAGGCTATTTCTGTCCAGATAGAGAAGCTCAGCTGAGAGCTTTCCAATGCAGCTGTTTTCCGCAGTGTACAGAGTGCCACCCTGTGTCTGTGATGAGTCTGGAGAGATCGAAATCAAGTTCGGATTCTTGCCACACCATCTAAGGGGCACCCTTAGTAGGAAGGCTGATGTTGAGTTGGGTTAAGTCAACCTTCACAAGTATTAGCTATTATATTTGTTGCTTAAATGTTGCTACTACCAGCAATGGCGGTATTAACAATGTATGATGCTGTACTTGGTACCAATTTTCTTTTTGAAGTCAGTGAGAAGTTAAAAGGTGACAAGCACAGCCGTTGCGCCTCACAAGGCACTGATGTATGTAAGCCCATACACAATGCCATTTCAGAGTGCTTGATCACCACTGTTGTGTAAAGCAAAATCGCCAGACTTACAAATATGCTGATGGGTGTGCCCGGCATTTCCCAGAATGTGTCAAGCAGCTCGATCGTGAGATGGGCGTGACAGTGGTGTGCAACATGGGGGCTACTTTAGAGGAAGATGCAACAACTTTTTCTGGAAGGGCAACCAGGTAACGGTACTGCGGCTTATTGTCTTGTCACACATTCCCATTGCTGCTTTCTTTCGATGAAAAGTGGAATTGCGAACAGGCATCATGGCCTAGTGCAGTTCGGCTGCATGAGTTACACACGTAGAATTTGGCAACAGACAGGGCATCCAGTTGGTAAGTGTACCCTACTCCCCAAAGCTATATATCTATGAAGATTGCCTTCTTGGCAAAAAGGCTACAGCGTTTGTACATTGTTGACAAACAGTGAAGTTGCATTTGGTGCCTTAAATGGCCTTGTAGACTCCAACACAATGTTGTGTGATTTCTGGTAGTAAATGCATCAAGAGCAGAAATCCACATCAACCGGTACAGATTAATGTTTTTGGACGTTGGGCTGTAGTCAGAATGGTGCAACACTGCAGAGACTCAGTACTTTTTCTTTGATTTACATCCAAGCATCATTTCGTGGCCGTGCTGCAGTTTTTATCAAAACTTGGCACTGCATTTGGGTGCGCAGCTCCCACAGAAGCACATTTTCGGGCATGTCCCAAATCTTTGGTATGTATCAGTGCTGCAGGTAAATTGCATTGCCACTTCCTCCGGCAAGCACAATCGCGGTATTTTCACCATGGAAATTTGCCCAATACTTCAGTGTGGGTGGCATGCCTGTGGCAGGTCCTTGATGGCTGCGCACGAGCTTGTGTGCCAAGACTTCAAGAACGTGTCCATCCTTCAAAAGGGCGTGTACGACTACATAACACCAGAAAGGTAGAAGCTCGTGCCATAGCACTGTGACTGAGCAATACGCTGCTGGGCAAGACTGCTACCCGTGGAACACTCGACATGATAGGCAAAACTGAGTGCCACCACAGAAGCGCCACAATAAGGCCTCAGCTAAACTCCTGCCCTTGTATTTCCTCATTTTCCCAATTCGCTGTTTCTCTGTTCTGCAGTCTTTTACTTTCCTACCTGTGAACATTTTCCTGCTCCTGCTTTGTTTGTGGCTCAGTCACGATGAATAAAGACCCCATGCTCATGCAACATCTTGAAACTTCGTTGCTGGCAGATGCGCTCCTGTGCTCGTGGTGCTGCGCTCCTGGTGCCACGCTCCTGGTGCCGCGCTCCTGGTGCCGCGCTCCTGGTGCTGCACTCCTGGTGCTGCACTGTGCAGCATAGACAGGAGATATTCGTCCAGTGCGTTATTTAGAAATATCTCAAAGCTGGTGGCAACCCTGCGTGTTTCACAGAGGGAGCAAACCCTACCCGAATGCAGAAATGCAGCGGAGCATCGGTTGTAACCTTTTTTTGCACGGGCACAGGATCATGTGCAGTCGTGTTCATGCAAGGCAGAGACTGGGTTTGTTTGATTTTCAGCATTGTGCATCGGGATGATGTGCGTTTTCGGGAATTGCGTGGGCCATTGCTGGGAATGTCATGCATCATAAAGTGCTCCTGTCAAACACATAAGGGAAGATGCTATGTTGAATTGGTTACGCTTAGCGTCAATTTGAAGCTTTTGGGGGGTGGGGGGTCCCGGACCTGTGACGCTAAGAGATTATGTAATTGACACAAAATCGACATCAGGTGGCAAGACACAAAAAAAGCCAAACAGCTCCCGACTTGTTCCAAACATTAAGCATTCAATCTTGAATGGAAGCCCCTAAATACCTCCTCAACAGGCAGCCATCAGCGCAACCCCATTCACCTGCAATGGCCTTTATCATGTTTTCCAGTCCAGCATAATCTTTACAATTTTGGCTGTTTGTGTTCCTCAAAACACTTTGATATCGTCTAGCGCCCCCCTTTGTGTAATGTTGCTGAGTCATCCTGGCATCGATATAAGGATTGACCCTGAGGAAGGGGTGAGTGTCTCTCTGGGTTCAGCGCCAAATTGATGCTCAGCGTATGTTCCTCAAAACACTTTGATATCGTCTAGCGCATCCCTTTGTGTAATGTTGCTGAGTCACCCTGGCATCGATATAAGGATTGACCCTGAGGAAGGGGTGGGTGTCTCTCTGGGTTCAGCGCCAAATCGATGCTCAGCGTATCAAAATCGACACAGCGTCTTCCCTAAGGCATCACAAGGGGGCACTCGTTGCCAGCGCGGGCACTGGCGGCCTGGTGTTGGGCGGCGCCATGAAGCACCCCAAATGCGAATGTAATTATTAAGGGTTTGCGCTCTAAAGCGACCTTCTCAGAGAATTCCACACAATTCTCAGAATGTAGATGTCAATAACACACCGTTACGCTTTGTAGCCCATTCAAGGCACATATTTGAATGCGTTTTCGTCTTGGTTCGTATGCTCATTGTCTAGGGCGTGGCGTCGCCCATGATCAGCGCCAGGTCAATGTGGCAATAGCGCTTACTGATGAGCATGGCCCTGCCTTGTCACAGGGAGCTGAGCAAGTGATGGCTCTGGTTGCAATCTGCAAAGGCCGGACTACTTGCTGCGGTGTTCTAGTCGTTGAGCAAGCCTTGACCAGATTGAAGTTGTGGCAGTTGCGTACAGTTCGGGATAGTGCGAAAAGCTCCTCGCATTCGAGGCAGCGCCAGCGTGTTCAACGTTGTTGTGCAGAACCGTGTATGTCAGGACTTGTCGCTCTGGTGGGGTACTTTGGGACTACAAACAGTGGCATCGTGTCGAGCTGATTTCCTTGGAGAGGATGCCAGAAAAGTTTCATAACATGTGGCTTTTGTTAGTTACCAACGTTGAGCATTTCCAACTTTCCGATATACATGCCGATGACGTGAGTCAGCTCAGCATACAATTGCGATTGCAAATCCAATAACTAAATGGCATGCCAGACTGAGTTGTTGTAGCTCTGCTGCACTCTTTTTGGGGAAAACACTATTTTGAATTGGGTGCGCTTAGCATCAAATTGACGTTAGGTGGAGAGGGGTCTAGCCATTGACGCTATGAACATATGTAATTGCATTAAAATCAAAATAATGAGGGGAAGATGCACAAAAAGCGCTACTGAGCCGTGGCAGATAAATCACGACTTGTTGCAAAACATCCCTCAACATTTTTCAACTTCGAGGAGGTCCTTAAAATGGATCAATTTTTAGGCTTTGCAGCTGCTCCCATCGCGTATTATGGCTTTTGGCATCTCACTCTTCAAATCACTGCAATCGCCACAATTTGTTCTGCTTTTTCACTTAAAACCATGCCGAAGCTGTACGCCATCTTTAGCTAATTTTGCTGACATCCTGGAATCGAAGTTAGGATCGATGCTAAGGGAGGGGGGGAAAGAGGGGTCTGATCTTAACATCACATTCACGCTAAGCATACCAAATTCAAAACAGTGTATTCCCTTATAAGGAAACCTTTATTAACCCTATTAACTAATTAGTTAAAGACAAGCAAAACAAAGCAGGGAAGAAGCAATGTTTGGATGCGCAGCGATGCGCAAGGCAGGGAGGTGTGCTGGCCTGCAATGGAGGCTTGTGCAATGACATCAACCTGTCACAAGGAGCGCAATACTTGATCTTGACAATCAGTGTGCCTCCTGTGGTTCGCGCCATACCTTGCTTGAAGCAACCAAGCTGTTCTGCCAACTACAATTTACCGATTGTGAACGGGAAAGTGACCTATGTGCATGAGGGAATGCTCCAGTTGCCCGGCCGTCACTGCTCCACCTCGAGTGGCATCAGAGCGAAAGAGCCTCAATGTCGAGAGGGCAAGCCACCTTGTGATGTGCGCCCCTTGTCGCTTGCTCTGTGCAGGTTTTAACTTTGGGATCTTACGGCGATCATGGACTGATGAAGACAGTACCAAGATCAGGGGTGCAAAATCCCCAGTGGGAGGGGAGTCCCCAAGCAGCCGTCCATGTATAGGTGTGGTCGGATAGCGTTAAGCCTCGTTGGAGCAAATGTCATGCGTTACAGTGTTCCTCACAAACTGACTGTATCCGATGAATTTCAGCTCAAAACACCTTAATTCAGACCAGACGTATGGCACATTTTGCAGAAAACAAGTTCGTTTCGGGCGATGTCTGACGAGGCTCAACAAGAACAAAATATCCATGCTTTCAGGTCGCTGGTCGCGCTACATGATGAGGGCGATCCGCCTGACGACTCATTGTCGCTGGTATCCAAACCTTCCTCTGTGACTACGTAGTCACATAGATATACCACAGTGCCTCTTGCAATTGCCATGCAATGGCTGTCAGCAGCAGAAAAAACTAGTCAAGCATGTGTGGCTTACCAGCTTCACTGCTCTGTTTGGCGGTGGGGTCTCAAAATCGACACATTGGACACTTAAGCACATCCATCAGATGTCCATTGATCATGCAACCTCAAATATACTCGAATGTGTCAGTGGCTGCGCGTTGTCCAATTCTAGGGCTATCTGACTAGCGCTGCAGTTGGGTAGCAAAGTCTAGCAGTATTGGCCGTGTTTGACCTGACAGCAGCCAGGTCGCCGTCGGGTACCACATGACCATTTCTATCAGGCCCATGGTCTGTAGCATTTCAAATTTGGACCACGCAGCAAGGAACTTCACGAAATATTCTGAGACTTTGATATGCTCTGCCCATGTCGACAAACGCTTGTTGTTAGTGATTGCGCCCGGTAATTTGTAGCAAGTCGAGAATGGAGTTGGTAGCTTGAAGCACATGCCTGATGAATGGCCACATGGTCGTAACTCTAATTCAGAATTTCTAGGACGAAATCTTCTTGACAACGAGAAGAGAACGCTACTCGGCCACATTTCTACTCGGCCAAGTGGCAATATTTATTCGAATTCCTGGGTACCGTCTTCTGACAACGTCATCCTTATGCAGGGCCAGAGAACATATTTGTGTGCTTCCCCCATTGTGCATTGCATCTTATTGTGCTTTCTAGAAACAGTCGAAGCGACGGCTGGGAGTGTCATGCCCTTGCAAGCTGTTTTTGTTAGACTCGTTATGCCAGCCACTTCAACATTGCAAAGGGTACTTGTTGCCGGTGTGGGCACAGGTAACTCGCTATTCTAGTGGTGCCATCCTGCAACTTGAGCATAATTGTAAATGGCGTCAGTGAGGGCTTGCGTTATGAGGCCGCTTGCAACCAATTTCTGGCAATTTTCAATACTTCCCATGAGCGCAATTGTCATTAGTATCCAAACATCGAGAACATGACGTCACATTTCGTGACTTATTCAAAACTAGTATTGGGATACACTATCATTGTGTTGTATTAGAATCGCTCACAGCATTGCATCAGCAATAATGCATGCAAGATCATTACCATAGTGTTTTAAGCCCTTCTATAAAAAAATAACGGTGCTTGAGGGAAATGCGGAGCATCCAAATTTAGTAATGCTTGGGGCACGGCTTCTGGACGGGCTTGATATTAGCACCTGGCAGGCCACTGGGCTATCGATTGGCAGGCAGGCAGGCGCCCGCTGCTTGCCATCCGGGCAGCAGAGAGAGTGGGTGCTGACGCTAAATGCCAACACGGAATGGCATGGGCGAGGAGTGGGGGCGGTCGGCGGGTGCGCTTGCATTGATCAACGGCCGGCCGGGGGGGCGACACTTGCGCTCCCAGGGCTCGATTCCACGAGCGGCCTTCGCAAGTGGATCCCACACAGTGCCATTCACGCCCCGTGGCCATGCTGGGTTGCTCCACCCAAGAGCATCCCGGCGGCACAGAATGCCATTCACGCGCCCGTGGCCATGCCTGGGTTGCTCCACCCAAGAGCAAATCATCCATGGCACTCAACGGGGCTGATAGCACCGCGCTTCTCTCCCCGCCCCCATCGCCCCGGAGAAAATGTGAACCAAAACCCTTGCACTCCCCGGGCTCAACCTCGCGAGCGGCCTCCGCAAGTGTTTCCCACACAGCGCCAGCAGTAGTGTTGCGCAACCGCATGTTTTCATACCCACTTCCTTTTCCTCGTCCGCTGAGTCGCTGGGCGGCCTACTGTCCAGCCGCGCCTCTCCTTGCGCATCGCTAGGACTCTTCGAAGCCATCCCCAGAGCTGGGTGGTTGGTGTCGCATGGTGCTTGCACATATGAGGCTTGGAACTGGTCCATTGCACCTGAAACTCGGGATACAGCTCCTAGAGCCCCTTCGGAGCCCGTGTGACACGATGCTGAGCAAAAATAAACAGAACAGTCTGGGACGAAAATGCGGGGCAGAAACATAAGGGTCGGGATGGACCGATGCACAAGTGTTGAATATCCTATGGTATACAGTGATCACATATGCACAATGCTGACAATAGCGTCCACTGATGAGTGTGGGCCAGCTGTATTGTAAGAAGCTGATCGAATGGTAGATCGGGTGGCCACCTAACAATGGCTGCATGACTTGCAACGCCGTTCAAATTTTTGGGCGAATTTCGACCAGATTTAAGTTGTGGCAGCTGCATACTGTTTGAGACAGTGTGAAATGTTCCTTGCTTTCCATGCAGCACCGACATGTCCAGCAGTTGAGTGCGACGTTGTGCCTGTTGGTAGTAATGGACTATTGCAGAAATGTGGGAATACAAGCATCAGAATTTGTCCTGGCGTTCTCTTGGAGCCGATGCCAGAAAGTGAAGGTCGCCGTGTGTGACAAGTATGCAAGAGGCGGACTTCGCGCGGAGATAGTATGAACAGGTTGAGAGCAAATGGCATGGGACCATTAGGTCATGTTTCGCTTGACAGGGATTCACGCTCTGGGCTGTGTGGTATACCAAACGCCCAAGAGCTGCCTCCACTCAAAACTTCAGCTGCATAAATACGCTTGAAAGTGCATGCATTAACCACAATCAAACCCGCCCATCTCCAACTTATAGAAATTGGTGGCATTTTCTGGAAATTGAATGATTTTTTTCCCAATAGCAAGGAGCGTCGTCCTTACAAAACAGCCTATCGCCCCAAATCCGCTCGAAATATCTTGAAGTTTCGCAGATATTCACTGATCCCGCCCCTTTCCGCTGGGGCAGCAAGACACTGACGAAGGCAGGCAGGATCGAGGGGTGGCGATCCCTGAACGGGAATTGTAAGCTCGAGTCCACGACAACGGTTTACAGCCGAGGCAAAAGGACAACAAGCGTCCTGTCCTTTGTACCCCGTCCATTCATCAACATCCTTAATGCAATTCCTAGTGCTTCATCATCTTTTCATGCACTCAGTTATTAATAACACTCAATCAGTTCCAGCCGTAACAACACCTAGTCCCCGTCCCTAGACACCCGTCCCCGGCAATTCAACAGCAAAGCAATGCATCAGAAGGAAGTGCTTCCCTCCCATGCGGGATATTTCTGCGGGTTGGCGTCTTTCAATTGCACCGGATCTTCCCTCACAACCTTGCCGTCCACGAAGTCCGCGCCCTCCACCACGGCCTCGCCGGGCATGTACCGAACCGAGTACCTCGATATCCCTGGGCCCGCTGCGCCCTCCGAGCCCACCACGAAAGGGTCCCCGCGGTGAAAGCAGAACCGCGTGAGGATGATTGCATCACCCGGGGCCATATGCGGGCAGTCCTTCACGGCCTCGAGCCGAGCCGCCTTCTCGGGAGCCAGCTCATGAATTCTACAGGTGTCGCCATAGCCCACCGTGATGGCCTCCCTGCAGTCGAGGTACAGGTGCGTGTGGCTGCGGCGCGCCACAGCCAGGCCTCCCCGATCCCCACCCACCGGGTCCAGCGCCAGCCACACGTTCACGCCAGGCCCGTGCGGCTCGTCCCTAGGCGACGGCCAGAACCCGGTGTCGTCCACGTGGAAGTTGCACCCCTGGTTGTCCCCCCGCAGCTTGAGATAGGCGTCCCGCAAAACGCACATCTCGCGCCCACCGGTGTCCCCAATTGGCTACGGCGTGAGCTGCGCCGCGGCCGCCGTCATCGCCGACGACACCGCCAGCTCGCGAAACACGGGCGCCTTTTCCCACAGGTACCACCCGAATCCAGAATAAAATGTCGGTCGGGAAGCGTCGATTTTACGGTCCTCCAAGGCGGCCGCGGCTTCCCGCGCCCGATCCAGGAGCTCCCCGGACACCAAGCCGCGGACGACCACGTAGCCATCCTGGTAGAAGGATTCGATCTGGTCGGCGCTGAGCGGGCCGCTGGCAGCCAGCGGCCGATCGAGCCGCACCAGCTCGTAGCCGGGCACGGGCCGGGCGGGCGCTTCGGCCGTTCGACTTGATGCGCGGACCAGGTGGCGCGTCGGTCGGCTTGGCCAGAAGCCTGGGCGGGGGGGGGATGGTGGTTGCAGGCGCGGGAGTGGCGACTCGGCCGCGTGGGCCGCAGCCCACACGGGGCCGCGGGGGACTGTCGAAGCCATCTCGATGGGGATGAATGCGGCTGTGGAGGGGCAGAGCAGCTGTCCAGGGGCTTTGCGTGGCGGGGGGCCGCGAGAGTGGTGCAGGAGTGACGCAAGTGTGGCCGTCGTGAGCGGTCCTGGGCTGGATCGGTGGCCGTCGATCTCCAGACACCTCAATTTGTTGGCTTTGTTCGAATTGACGATTTGTGTCCGAGTTAGATTCCAAAATGGCCGGCTTGCAACGCCAGAAAGGATCCTAATGCGGACAATGTCCGGCTCCCAATGCTGAAACATGTCCTAATTCAGACAATGTCCGGCAAGAACACCACCAACTGTCCCCAATTCAGACACACGACAACTGACGACTCCCCTTCTTTGGAATCGAGTTCTCCATAGTTTCCAAGGGTACAACTGCAAGGCAAGTGCCCCTTGGCATCTGGTTGTCTTCAAAACAGAGTCACCAGCTTTGTGGTAGTGTTCGCCAATTCATTGCAGCACACGTCATGTATTACACGCTGCGATTGCCACCTTGACATTCAGTGTGCCTCCCCTCCTTTGCGTCATAACTTTCTTAAAGCAACGAAGTTGATCTGACTGCTGCAATTTACAGATTGCAAATGGGCAAGTCCCTTGGTCATGGTGTTTATCAACCCTCCAACAAGGCATCTTGATACAAAATTTCAAACCTAGCAGTGTTGCGGCAATGCTGAATCAACGATCCTGTTTGTCAGCTTTGAGATACATTCGAAAATATGGTAGCCTTTGATGCAACATTGATAGGCTCTTGGATCAACGCTTAACTTCAGAGCTCGTGCTTATAGAGCGGCGCTGGTGCAAGGACATATCAATGTTGCATCAATGCCTACGAAATTTCTGGATGTACTCACCAGCATTTGTGCATTGTCGACAGTAAGGTTGCATGTGGTGGTTGACATGGCCATGTGGACGCCAGGGCAATGTTTGACCGCTGGCAATAAGTGCATAAAGAGTGGAAGCTCACATCAACAGGTATTGGTTACTGTTTTTGGACGTGCGCTTGTAGCCGGAATGGTGCAACATTATATAACATTGTCAGGTAACCGACATTTCTCCAATGTTTTGTATTCAAGAATCATTCCGTGTATGCGCCACAGTCTTTTCAAGACTTGACACTGCATTTGGATGCACAGCTCCCACAGAAGCACTCCCTCTGGCATGCCCTAACCCTTCAGCACATCCTGGCACTGCAGGCAGATCGCACGAATACCTCCACCTCTCCATCTGCTGGCAAGCGCAGTCTTGTTGTTTCTGGCACCAAAATTTGCCTAAAACTTCAGTGTGGGTTGCATGCCTGTGGCAGGTCCTTTGTGGCTGCACGTGAGCTTGTGTGCTAAGACTTCAAGAACGTGTCCATTGTGCACAGGGGCATATACGGCTACATAACGCCAGAAAGGTGGGACAACATGACCCTGCTGCCAGAGTACAGTGATGGAGCGATCAACGTGTGAAGCAAATTAAGTGCCCTGCACAGAAGTCCTGCAACAAAGCCTCAACTACATTCCTTATTGTGTATGCCCTCATTTCCCTATTTCTGGCTTTCCCTGTTCGATATTCTCCTACATTTCGTACCTGTGAACTTTTCTTGACAGCTGTTACCTTGTGGCTCAGTGATGAGGTCTGGAAGGCCCCACACTCTCCCAACCTCTTGTAACATTTTTTGCGGCAGACGCGCTCCTGTAGCTGTACTTGTAGTATGGGCAGGAGATGTCTGTCCAGAACAGTATTCCCAAACATCTGAACACTCATGACCACTGTGTTTCACAACGGGTAGGAGCCCTGCCCGAAACCTGAAACACTGAACCCTGAAACACATCGCGACATCAGGTGTAGCATTTTCATAGGAAGAGTGCTCGAGCAACCACAGGGGCGTTCACACGGAAGCCAGAGACTGGATTGGTTGTTTTGCCCATTGTGCACGGTGCGTTTTCTGGAATGGCCTGGGTCGCTCTGGGAGTGCCGCACGTCACAAAGGGCTCTTATCAAACTCGGAGGGCCAGCGATACTGGTAGCCAAAAGGCCATTGCCATTCACCATGGCAGCCACGTCAGACAAATTTTGGCCCGGAGCACCTGAATTCGGACACATTGTCATTCACCATGGCAGCCACGTCAGACAAATTTTGGCCCGGAGCACCTGAATTCGGACACATTGTCATTCACCATGGCAGGCACGTCAGACAAATTTTGGTCTGGAGCACCTGAATTCGGGCAAATTGTCCTTCAAAGTATTGGAAAAGCAAAGCTTAAATCCCACAATGTCCGGCGAGGTTGAACGAAAACAAAACCTGATTGCATCACAAGGAAGCGCTTCCCTCCCATGCGGGATATTTCTGCGGGTTGGCGTCCTTCAACTGCACCGGATCTTCCGTTGCAGCCCCTCCACCACTGCCTCCCCGGGCATGTACCGAACCGAGTACCTCGATATCCCAGGGCCCGCTGCGCCCTCAGATCCCACCACGAAGGGGTCCCCGCGGTGGAAGCAAAACCGCGTGAGGACGATGGCATCCCCTGGAGCCATCTGCGGGCAGTCCTTCACCGCCTCAAGCCGGGCAGCCTTCTCGGGAGCCAGCTCGTCCATCCTGCAGGTGTCAGTATAGCCCCCGGCAATGGCCTCCCTGCAGTCCAGGTACAGGTGCGTATGGCTGCCGCGCGCCACTGCCAGCCCTCCGCGATCCTCCCCCACCGGATCCAGCGCCAGCCACACGTTCACGCCAGGACCGTGCGGCTCGTCCCTGGGCGAGGGCCAGAAACCCCCGTCGTCCACGTGGAAGTTGCAGCCCGGGTTGGCCCCCGCCAACCTGAAATACCCGTCCCGCAGCACGCACATCTCGCGCCCGCCGGTGTCCCCGACTGGCGACGGTGTCAGCTGCGCCGCGGCCGCCGCCATCCCCGACGATACCGCCAGCTCGCGAAACACGGGCGCCTTTTCCCACAGGTACCATCCAGATCCCGCGTACCTGCTCGACCCGAGGGGATTGCTCTCCAGGGCGGCCGCGGCCTCCCGCGCGCGATCCAGGAGCTCCCCGGAGACCAGCCCGCGGACAACCACGTAGCCATCCTGGTAGAAGGATTCGATCTGGTCGGCGCTGATCGGCCCACTGGCAGCCAGGGGCCGATCAGGCCGCACCAGCTCGTAGCCGGGCACGGGCCGGGCTGGCGCTTCGGCCGTTCGGCTCGAAGCGCGGACCAGGTGGGGCGTCGGTCGGCTTCGCCGGAAGCCTGGGCAGGGGGCGGATAGTGGTTGGCGGGAAGGGAGTGGGGACTTGGCCGCGTGGGCCGCAGCCCACACGGGGCCACGGGGGACTGTCGAAGCCATCTCGATGGGGATGAATGTGGGTGTGGAGGGGCAGGGCACGTGTCCATGCGGTTTGTGTGGGTGGGTGTGGCAAGCTCAGGGGTGACGCACGTGTGGCAGCCGCCTGCGTGCCTGGGCACAATGGGTGGCAGTCGATCTTCCAGCCAGGTCATTTTTTGTTTGCATAGACGATTGTGTCCGAACTGGGAATCGAAAATGAACGGCTTGAGACATGCCCTTATTCTGACAATGTTCGGCAAGAACACTGCTGGTTGTCCACAATTCAGACACACGATAACTGACGACTTCCCTTTTTTGGACTCGAATTCCCCACAGCTTCAAGGAGTACAACTGCATGCAAGCTTGGTTTTTGCACCTTAAACACAATTTATTGCATTGGCGTTTTTACACATGAAAATGTGTAAAGCATACGTAAAAACAACATAAGTACAGCCCGGTGTACATAAGGGCAATACATACAGACTTGTCTAGGGAGTGGCAGTCATTTGCACTGGAATGGATAGGAAACCAACTTTTGTTCCATGCTATAGTTGCCCTTCCCAGGGGCGCAGTGGACATTGTGTAGTTGATGCAGGAAATGGCAGAGGACTGATCATTGGACACGACTTTCATCGATGATCGTGTAACTTGGGTGTCCCAACGAGCCGTAAAATGTAAAAATGACCATAAAAACAGCCCCTTTTGGAAATTTACGTTCTTATGTATAAAAACGTAAACATAAAAATGTAAATGTAAATGTAAAAACCAAGCCTGACTGCATGGCAGGTGCCAATTGCCACTTGGTTATTTGCCAACAAGTCATTGACTTTGTGGTGGTGTGTGCCAATTTATAGTGATACACATCATGCACTACTACCTTCGTCTCAAAATTATTGTCCGAATTTGTTTCTTTTCTTACAACAACTTTAAGGTCAACTCAATTGGTCAATTTGACACCAGATTAAGATGTCTTGGTCGATTTCTATGGAAAAATAAAGAAATCCATAGCATTTTGAAAAGTTCCCCTATCCATTGTTGCACACTCCTTGAGTTCCCCATGCTATTGGGCTTGCCTAATCCCTATATACTCCATCGTGTAACCATTTCCTCTAGACTTCTCATGCATTTTGTTGTACACAGCAAATAGGCACTGCCACACCCCCTCCAATGCTTTTGCATCATAATGTTCATATGCTTCCTCAACAACTCCTGCCATCTCATCCACACTACTGAATATTGTCTCAAGCACCCTTGTTTTCAACCATCTAAAGGACCCCAGGTCGTTGATGTTCAAATCATGGGATTGCGCCAGTTGGGTAATAAGATCAATCAACCAGCCCTCCATATGCCCAGCTTCCTAAAGGGCTTCCAAATCTCCTTTTCTTGTGTGGGACCTAGCCCCATCATGTTGACCAACATCTAACCATTGTGCATCAATGACATCTTTGTCTTGAATGCTGGTATGAGCTTCTAAACGTACCACTTGTGATACCAAGCAGAGTCTGTAGTTGTGTCCACATGGTATTTGTCTCCGTTTTAGTAATATCTACTCCTTTTTTCTGCCACCTTCTCTTGGGATACACGTAAGATTCCAATCTTCCCATCACATTGATGGGTTCGATCTAGCCTAGCGTTTGCTACAGTGAACATTGTTTTGGGAATGTGGCTCTTGTGTTGGATTGTGGCAACATTATCCACTACTTCCTTGGGGAAATAATATGCTCGCCGTCCACCATCAAATAAAACTAAGTTTTATCCACATGGATTGAATTTAACATGGAATCATGCACCATCCTTCTCTCATTGGCCTTGTTCACTACAAACACCAATATGGCCCACATCTACCTAAAATTTAGTGATGCTTTGAACCACCGCCATTTGCACACTGCCCCCATTGCTTTAAGCCATTGACAAACCAAAGTTGTGCTTATTTCAATGCAGGAGTTCTCAATTTCATGAGTAATCTGCCTCACTGTCCCCCAGCAATTCCCCTTATTAACCCATTTGCGACGTTCAAGGTTGCTATGGATAGATTTCAGAAAGATGTGTGAAAGCTATTCAGATCAGTTTTTTTGACTCACATGTTTTAACCTTCGTTGTTGTGAAAAAGAATTCGGACAATACTGTTGAGACAGAGGCAGAATACAATGCAATTGCGAGCTTGACTTTCAGTGTGCCTCCTGTACTTTGTGCCGTACCTTATTTGAAACAACGAAGTTGATGTGACAAGTACAAGTTACAGACCGCAAATGGGAAATTGTGTTCAGCAATTGTGGGAATGTTCTCATTGTGTAGCTCTTGCCGCTCCTCTGTGGGTGGCATGTTGGTGATGGAACTACACAACCTAGAGGGTGGACCACCTTGTGCTATGTATGCTTTGTCGCTTGCTTTGTGTATGTCTTAGTTTTCGATCTAATTATGATCACAAACTGATAAAGATGGTATCAAGAGTAGGGTCGCAAAAAGCATTGGAGAGGCCCCAGGCAGTGGACCATGCATAAGTGCAGCCGGGTAATGGTGGATCTCATAGGGGCAAATGACATGCTTTAGCCTGTAGTTCGCGCATTTACTATGTCCACAAAAATTTGTCCCAAGAAATACATCGATTTGGACACGTTGCACTACACAGCTTTGACAACACAACCCCAATTCAGACAATTTATGATGATGCTAAATAAAGGATAACCCCTACTTCCAGATTTCCTGCCTGCCTTACTTGATATGCTATGGCCATGTGGGCCTCCTTCACCCAGTTGTGCCATGCTTTTAATGCCTTTGCAAACTGCTTATCCCAAGCGTTTTACTTTGGTTATGCAGTGGGCGCCTTCTTGGCATCCTATGCACATTTGTGGCCATTTCCAAATCAGATTCGCGAGATGCCTTCAAGTGATCATTAGGCAAATGGCCTAACAAATCTGTTGCTTTAATGGCACGCTCATTGGGATGTACCCGCCCTCTTGGCCCTCAGAGCTAGGGTGCACGGCTTCCTCAGCCACAAACCCTGACTTGCTTTGTCAGCGAGCATTTTGTGGTGTGGCTATCTATAGTGCTGTGGGGGTCTTTTTATGTCTGGGACACCTCAAATATCATATGGCCTAACATAACACCAAATGCACATAACGACATGCACACCCACCAATTAGTAAACTACACTTGCACGTCCACAAAGCGCACTAATTTGACCCTTTGAAACCATCCACCTCACCCTTCAAACAGTCCGAGCCTCCCCACAATTGCACAAAATGAGGTCCACCGGTGTCACAAAATGGCTGCGCAATCAAGAGTATTTTACGCATTTTTCAAGATGGGGCTGCTCCTCCTGTGTACAACGCTACACCATAACAATAACTACACATTTAAACGTGTCGTCTGATACTTGAAACAAAAAGACATGTTGCAATGGGGCAATGCACACAACCCCAAAACTTAAAAAGTAGACTATGTAGCCAAAATTCAAAAGCAACATGTCCAATCCTTTAACAATGCTCAGCCACTGCAAAGGTACTACACTAAACCCAATCAACTGATCAGGAACACGTTTTGAAACGTGCCCTCACAAGATTAGGCAGCCCCTTGCAAGAGAACCTCAATAATTGGCCCCCTTTCAAGTTATCAAAATTCCATCCTATTACAAATAAGCAAAATACGCCCTTGCACCAATGCAAACCCCCTCACAGCCCATTGTCACCACTCCCTGGTGTCTCACACTACCAAGGGAAGGTGGACATGCCTCATGGGTTAAAAACAACGCATTGGCAGCTACGCAAATATAGAAAAGAAAATGGCATAATACTCACAACCATTTTATAGACAAACTAACCCTTTTTAAGGGTCTGGGATACAATCAACCCTCCCCATTCAGAACTAATGGATGAACTATCAGCCCTTTCATAGGATCGTGCATAATCCAATGCACTTGTCTTTTCCAAACAACCATCAGCCTTTCACGTTTCGCTTTTTTCCACTGGCTCAAATACTCATCATTTTTTCCTTAATAACTAAAAACTTTGAACCAACTTGGTGTGGCTTGCACATCCAACCAAGTTAATTAATTGTTCCAACTATTTGGTAGGCTCATTTAATCTTCAAGAAAACACATGAATACAAATCCCAGTATTCCTGAGTATACTGAGAACATCCTAAAGCCAATATGCTAAATACCCAAGTAATCTAGAATATTTCGATGCACTCAAGGATCCAAGAGAAAGACACACCTAACCCACTCTAACCTAAAGATCCATATCCCAATAACTTGTAGCAAATCTTGGAATATAACATAATGTACAGCATTAAGAATTCACAATAGTATTACCCCCATATGATAGCAGCTATCCTCAGATGCAAAAACAAAAGGCAGAAAAACTAGAAATATCCAAATCTATAGTATACATGTCTTGGAAGAAAACGAAATCAAGGCTCTCGGCACTAACATAGGCTCTATGATGGTTAGTCTATTGATGCAACTACAAACTATGGATGCACGCCCTGGATTGGCACATTGAACATGATTACCACCGTGATAATCAAGATCCCTTTACCAACTATACTCATCCCAATAAATCAACTATTGTAGCCTTGTTGGTAACTGCTTGTTTCTGGAGGCGTTGGGGCCACCCTACTCTGGAGCATAGACATTGGAGATTGGCCGGCCTCTTTATGTTGGATGGTGGGTGTATCTGGGGCAATCAATTCTTTGGTCATCCGGTGGGCCCCATGTTTGACAGGGAATGATCCCCGAGGCCTACAGCAAGCCGCCTACTATAAATGAGAGGTGGTGGCATAGCGAGACAGTGGTTTGTTAGCTCACGGGAGGTCAGAGAGTTGGCCATAATCGAGTTACATATTTTCATGTATGTGTGCGCATATATCCATATGCACGATACCCAATCATGGGTCCATCACTATCACATCAAGACAAGGCAACTTATGTGTGCATCTATGCATATTGTTACCATTTCATTTCACCCATGTTCGACCCGTCTCCCTCTAATGCCTTTATGTATAGCCTCTGGTCTAGGGCT